AACAATATTGCTTTGTGTCAAGGTAGAGCCCAAGGACTGGGCAAGGTCAGAGTAGCATATCACAGGGAGGAGATAGGGCTATTTTCAGTTTGCAGACAGAGACCAGGAAAGCAAAATTCCAAGGCAACAAAAGCAGATTCCAGAGATACTGGAAATAGGGTAATAAATCAGAAATAAAGTTCAAAACAAAGTGAAGACAGAGGTTGAAGAAACAAACAGGGCTGTTCCGTCTAGCTTAGGTACAAGTTTCCTAGGACACAGACATATTACTCAGCCACACAACTATATAATGGAGGCAAGAAGAAAACAGTGTTAAGAGTGAATAACATAAGAAAGAGATGTTTCTCCATGCAATCACTTCACTGGGGGAGAAGGATGCCTCATATGGATTTATGGGAATGTCCAAGCAGGTGGTCAAAGCAAGACCTGAGTGAGATTCAAAAACTAACACATAGGCTAGCATCAAGGATGTCCATCTACAAGTTGCAGATCCTTTGGCAAGGATAACTTGATGCTGAGACAAAGAGCCTTGAATTAGAAGTCCTGGAAGTCTCCCTGATTCCTATCAAGTTTTCCTAAAGCCAAGACCAGGACTGAGCTATAGGTGGGTGTCAAGTAGCTTTAGCTGTAGAGAGGCAAGTGATGATGGCATCTGGAGCCATCATAAAGAACCCTAGTTTTGGTTCTCTGTTAGGGATATTAGGTTGAGGATTTTCCCAATGTATATCCCTTTTTCCTTTTTCTATGGGCTCCCAATTTTTCTCTTTGAAGATCCATAGGGTTCCATGGACACTGACTTTGTCATTGCCTTTAAAAATAAAGGGAACCTATGCTAGCCATTAAGCCACTTCCATATCTTTGGCCGATAAATAGGCATGTGATATGAGCTGGTCCATCTGAAGTGGATTTAGTACTTTACTGGAAATGTTCGGACAAAGCATCTCATGCTTCCCCGCTAGACGTGAATGAAGAAGCACGCCACTCTGGACAGGAAAGCATTGATGAGAACTGGAGAGGCAGAAATGGGATTAAGCTACATCATTTACCTTTGATACAGTTAACTCCTCCCTCCATCTTAACATATTTTCTTGAGTATGTTTTCAGGATACTGGAACACACTCAGTTCTGGTCCTTCTCCGTCTCCTCTCTGGATCCTTCTTCCAGATTTTAAAATATGATGGCAGGCACCATGGCCTAAGCCTGAACTAATACTCCAGCACTCTTCTCTTGCTTTCTACTTTCCAGCCACACTGGCCCCCAGCCGGCCTCCTCAGTACCTTTCCACTTCCTATACCCTCCGTGCAGAAGACACTTCCCCCATCATGGAATGCACTTTCCTATTCCCTCATTATGAAACACACTTCTCCCATCGTGGGGAAATACCTCCCACTCTCGTTGTCCTTTCTGAACATCATATATACATAGTAGTTCCCATCACTCCAGTACTCTGAAATATTTTTCTCCTTAGCACTTATCACTACTACTTAGCATATGTATTTCTTTATTGTCTGTCTCTCCCCACCCCATATGTAAGCTCCAAGAAATCAAAGACTGACTGTTTTGATCACTGCTATATTTCAAGTGCCTAGAACAGTACCTGGAACATTGTGGGTGCTCACCAAATCTTTTTCAAATAAATAAATTAATAAATGCATGAATCATTTGAGCTGCCAAAGTAAAACTTCCCAGAAATCATAATTACCTATAGATATTTCTTCAGTCATTTAAGCTAGAAACTGAAGCCAGTTGAATTGTGTTTTCTATTAAAAACAAAAACAAAAGCATTTTAGCTGATACGCTTCCCAATGGATTTTTAGTAAACAATAAGATGAATTTTTTGTTTAAAATAAAGTATTTATTGTTCTAAACTCACTTGAGAATGCAGAAGATCCCAAGTCCCAGGCAACTTCTACCGGTCACCTAATGTTTCCAACTAATGGTGTGAAGGCTCCTTGAAAGCAAGGATCTCATCTAAATCATTCATGTTTTAATTCTCAGTGCTTCTCTTACAGTGGGTGCCTAAGACATATTTGTGGGATTTAAACACACTCTGTTTATGACACTCAATACAACAAGATTTGAATCTTGTGTCTTCCTAGACCTAGGATTTGGGGTAAAGAATATGTATTTTTTTCAGCTTTGGATTCATTATCTGAAAAATAGAAACAACAATACCTTGTTAACTGGGTTGTTCCTAGTAAAAATATTGAAAAAAACATTAAACTATGCTTGTTGTTACTGCGGTGGGAGTAGCTTTTCCTATTTTATATCTCTCATATGCTCTGTATTTCTGAAGCTCACCTGGAGCGATGCTCCCTCTGACATATAAATAGTGTGTAGAGCTTGGAACCAAGTAGCATAGCTAATAATTTCATTAATGCATGGATTCTAGTGTTTCCATTTCTTCCCATGTTTATGCCTTTGCAGATTAATAGGAATTGAGAACTAAAGTAGACATCTAGCACTAGGATAATAGGAAAGACTCTCACTATGAGAGTGAAAAGACGTTGGATGTTGAATCACCCAGTTGGGCTCTCTGCACTAATAGATTCACTGGATTCTCAGCTCTCTACCTTATATGTGTGGGTGAACCTCAGGTGATCTCATTGATTATATGCCACCTATTTTCTCCCCCAAGATTTTGAGCCTAAGGGTGATATGATTAGATGAGATTTCATGAGAGAAATTTCTCCAATGTTTTGGTGTAAATTTAATGTTGTAAAATACACTGCTGTAGCCACTTACAAATACTGAGACGTCAGTTGCAGAAGCTGTGCAATACACGCATGTGCTATACCATTGAGCGGATGACTAAAGCTCGGAAGTGTAATTGATCAAGCAGAATATTTATTGCAGGAGTGCTGAGCTTTCTACAATAAATGTACTCATCAAAGGTTGTATGTAAATCAAATGACTGCAAATTGAATAATTTAAAAGGCATTAGGGAAGCGTATTACTTAAATAAATCCCCATGTGACTCTTCAAATCTAAGAATCCTTTTGTAATGCAAAGTATTTATCTTTTTATTTAAATATCAATTTTTTACATATTAAGTTTTCTTAAATTGAAGTACACCTGTACTACAGAAAAAAAAGCAACAACTGATTCAGGGCTGCTGTGCCTACATTTCCTCTGCTTTGAGCTTTGTAACTGTTGTGCCAAGAATTGAGTATAGGAGTGCTGGGCTATTGATTCAGCTTCATAGATTCCCATGTCCTGGAACATCCAAAGACCTGGGTCATCCATTCAAGAGCATATTTATCTGTGTATGTTCAATTACTCCAATGTTCAATACAAATATTTTCTATCTGAAAAGGTCAGCAAGTGACAGCTCTAAATTCCTTCTGGTAGCATTTTATTTTTTTAAATCTTAAAGACTTTCGCTCATCTTCCTCACTTGCTTCCTTACTGTCTTTTCATTCTCTCTTCTTTAAAACACACTTAATCAGACCGAGCGAGGTGGCTTACACCTGTAATCCCAGAACTTTGGGAGGCCGAGGCGGGCAGGTCATGAGGTCAGGAGATGAGACCATCCCGGTCAACATGGTGAAATCCCATCTCTACTAAAAATACAAAAATTAGCTGGGCGTGGTGGTGCGCACCTGTAGTCCCAGCTACTTCGGGAGGCTGAGGCAGGAGAATTGCTTGAACCCGGGAAGCAGAGGTTGCAGTGAGCCGAGATCATGCCATTGCACTCCAGCATGGGCAACAAGAGCAAAACTCTGTCTAAAACAAACAGTCAGTATTAGTAACTGCGTATCACCTACTCATCCTAGTTTAACAGCTGTCTCGCTCACTAAACTGTAAGCATTGAGAATGGCAGTTTTGCTTACCACCGTTTACTCAGTGCCTACCATTTGCCTGGCATATAATAAGTACTTAGTCAATACTGGCTGAGGGATTGAATGAGTGAGAAAATTAATAGATGGATGGAAGATAGCCAGTTCCCATTTACTTAGCATCCTTTGGCAAGGGCCCTAACTAATCCAGCTCTGAGCGATCCCTCCAGCCTCTTTCCATTCTGCATCTCTCTCCATTTGTTTCAACCACACTGGTTTCTTGCTGATCACAACTGATAGGTGAAGCACGTCGGTCCTTCCCTGGGCTTGCCATGTCCTTCAGCTGGAGTGCCCTCGCTCATACTAGTGTAGTGTACTCCTTCCCATTATTTGGGTGTCTACACAAACATATGTTCTCAGAGAGGACTTCCTGGACTCCCCATCTAAAATAGCAGCTCTCCACACACCTCTTAGACATTTGTTTCATAGTACTTATAACTGAACTGTATATATCTATTTAGGTATTTATTGGCCATCATCTCAGACCCTCCATGTAGAATCCAAGAGGTCAGAGACACTGTCTGTCATACCCACCATAGAATGAATAAGAACCGCACAAGACACTGCGAAGATACTGGATAGAGATTATTGACAAAAGGAAGAAATGCATTATCTCTTTCTTTTTTTTTTTTTGTTGTTAGTTACATTAGTATTATCCCCCAGTGATTGTAATAAAACCTTATTTTAACTTAACCTTAATATAATTTTATAAAGTACTTCAATCATAGTATCTTTTTACTTGTTTGTATGCTTAAAGTGGCACTGTCCTATATCACAGAATGTATCTTTAATGGGCTAAAAACTATGAAGATATTAGAATCATATTCTCATCAACCATAGCCCAATATGAAAGACATACTTGTTGAATTTTATACTTTTTCCCACATTTTTGAAGATTTACTATATTTTATTCGATTTTGTTACATCTGCCTTAAAGTTCTACTTGATATAATCAATCAGTAATATTAAGTAATAAATGTAATTTTCTTTGAGTGTTTTGTGAGACTGTAATATTCCAAAGTACAAAAACAATTATTTTAAAAAACAAATATGAGTATGCTTTTGATGACATAGACAACCTACATTTTATGACCAAGACATTATCACTTAAAGCTTATATTGAAAATAGTTTTAACAGTGCTTTTTCTCTTTGGCTTTCAGGTATTTGACTATGATTTTGGACTACAGGATGACTTTATGGGCTCAGCCTTTCTGGATCTGGCACAATTGGAGTTAAACAGGTTAGCTTTCGAGCTATTGTAATATCGCCACCCTTTGTTATACAGTGGGCTTGTGTAACAGAAAATGTCAGCTGATCTGGGGCCTAGTTCTGTCATTTATTGTGGTGAGCCTTCCAGCTAGTCAGCATTTCTCAAATCCATCTTCCTTACTTATCCAGTGGAAATAATAGCATCTTCCCTGACTACCTTATTCAACAACTCTTCAACAGAAAAATTATTGGATACCTGCTCTGTTCCACAATACTGTGCTAAGCACCAGGAATCTAGAGATAAAAGACGCATTCCTTCCTTTCATATTGCCCATGTGGTTGTAGTGGGGCGTGAAAAAAAGATTATGCATGTTAGTCATAGTTATTAAGAATTAGACTATTATATATAAAATACAGTGTGTGCACTTTGCTTCAGAAATGACAAGTCTCTTGTTACTTGAGCCACAGTAGAATCTGGTTTTGCCATTGCCAGATTACCAAGGAATGCTCCTAAGGTAAGAGGCAGGCTGGTTGTATTTGCTCAGTTACATTATTATCATTGCTTCCCTAGTTGCAAAGTTATTATTGTTACTAATATTAGTTAATACTGTTACTAATATTAATCATTTTTTTGGGGGGGGGGCGGAGTTTCGCTCGTTACCCAGGCTGGAGTGCAATGGCGCGATCTCGGCTCACCGCAACCTCCGCCTCCTGGGTTCAAGCAATTTTCCTGCCTCAGCCTCCTGAGTAGCTGGGACTACAGGCATGTGCCACCATGCCCAGCTAATTTTTTTTTTTTGTAGTTTTAGTAGAGACAGGGTTTCACCGTGTTGACCAGGATGGTCTCGATCTCTTGACCTCGTGATCCACCCGCCTCGGCCTCCCAAAGTGCTGGGATTACAGGCTTGAGCCACCGCGCCCGGCCTATTAATCATTTCTTATACCTTATAATGGGCTTAAATTTTTCCAAGTAAATTTCAACATAGGAACTAAGAATTGATTTGTCCTATAGAATAAAAAAAATACCATTAGAAAAGATCATGCATGCTGAAATAGGTTGCAAAGAAAGCTGTGAAACTTTCTTTGATGGTTTTAAGAAGGAATTCCTGGCTGTTTTGGATGATTGTGTTATATCATGTGGCGGAGATGGTGGAAAACGGAAAAACAGAGTAATGAGCCAGATCACTACTTTCTATTTCTGTAAATGTAGATGACTAGAGAAATATAAAGTGTAGAACTCTCTTATGCATTACAATCAGTTTAATTTGAGTACAATGGCTTATTGGTCTTCCGATAGTCGTTGTTGCCTCAGACTGGACAAAAGAGCAGCCTTTTCCATACTTTTTCTATAAGTCCTCCATTCTAGCCTACAGCCTAGCACAGACTTTAGGACATCCCCTACAGTCGCTGCAGCTGTAGGACGTCCCCTGAGTGGTGTTGCATGGAATCTATTATCATGAAAACTGAGCTCAGTCTAAAATAGACTGTGCTATTCTTCTCTAAAGACCATAAGTACTTTTTCTGAGACTTCTGTGTAAGGATATGCAAATGACTAGACTTAATCCCAAAGTATAAATTTATCTTGTTTCCTATTAAAGATAAATCATTGGTGAAAAATAATTTTAAATGGTGACAGCTTGGAATAATTTCAGAAATTAAGAGATTATACACGAGCAGTTGGAGTGTTTTGCCACATTACATATTTTATGTATTTCTCTAGCAATTTCCTCTCCTCAAAACCATATAAACATCTCATTACTAGTTTTTAAAATAATGTATTTGTGTATGCTATTTTATTCTAAATATAAATCAATAGTATCTAAGTATACAAAACACGATAATAATTATAGTCATATAAATATAATACATTAAGGTATCTCTGAAAGAATAATACATCATAAAGCAGTTCTAAATGTTCTTATAGCTTTATCATGTAATCATTAAAAGATGTAATGAAGTTTTTTCAATTAATTTTTACATGTAATCATTACATGAAAATGAACTAAATCAGACTGTAACCCCATATGTATATTTAGTGTTTATGTGTGTGTATAGATATATTCATGTGTGTGTATGTATATATATGTATATGTGTATGTATATGTATACACATACACACATACCTGTGTATATGTATGGTGCTGCACTCTGGGTTTAGAGAACATAGAAAGGGGACTGGTAGGCTTCTCAAAAGGGTTGTAGTTTCTTGGCCTTTCCAACCACTTTCTGGAAACTTCATGGGTTTAGAAAGCAGAAATTCATCTGGTGAATTCAGATCTACTCATAGTTTATTAGATAACTTAATACACTGATAATATTTTAATAATAAAAATTGTCCCAAGAAAGTAAAGGAAGACAAAATTGCTTTTTATCTTAAAATAATAAAGTGTTAATAAAAATATATTTGGCTTATTCTTTTAATGACTGTTTAAAATCTAAATATTTTCTATCACAGGCCTACCGATGTGACCCTTACTCTGAAAGATCCTCATTATCCTGACCATGATCTTGGAATCATTTTGCTCTCAGTCATCCTTACCCCTAAAGAAGGAGAGTCCAGGGATGTGGTAAGTTCCCCCACAGCCTAGTAGGAGCCCTTTCTTGCTCTCAGTCGTTCGAATGTTGTGAGCCTTTCTTTGGATCCAGAGATAATAATAAAGAGAAGCTGCCTACGAAAATATGCCCTGTTCTTTGTTTCTGTGAGTATCCTAGGTGTCACTCATCCATGCTTATTGTATCTTTTCAACTCCAATTTCCTGTTCCGCCCTCGAGATCAGAACCTCTTGTTGTAAATAAGAAACAGATTTGAATTTTTATTTTAATTTTATTTCTCAATTTGCACATGTTATATTGTAGGCAAATATTAGCATTTATTTGGGGAATATATTTATTAGTAAATTGAATTCTTGGAATTCCACATTAAGGTATCCAGACCCTGCTATTTTGACTGTATTGTCAGGTGTACCATCGCAGAGAAAATGAGGTGAAATTATAACAGAGTTTCTGCTTTCTGGTATTTGTTTAGTGAATGATAAGTGATACTTTTCATCTTCTTGATGGGCTTCCATATTGGTATTACTCATTTTTTAATACTATAGCTGTCTGTACTTACTTGCACACCATGCTGCTGTGAGAAACTGACAACGGATACAGAGGAGCCAGTTACTCCCCACCATTGAAGTGACACTAAAAAAATATCAGGCTTGACCCTCATCAGTATGCTTGATAGTATACTTTCTGCCACAATTTGCCAGAGACTATTTATTAGACTCAATGGGCTTTCATGTGCCTCAGAACGACTCTAACTAGCTCTGATTGTAACACATTTTAGTAGTAGGCATAATTTTTTTAGGCAAGTCCAAAAACTCTATTTCAGCATCTGTGTATCGCTGTCCTAAAATAATGCACGATTAAAGTTGGTTATAGATTGTCTGCTGGAAAGGTATTGTTTGCATTTCCCCCTAGACTGTAGGTAAAAATAGTGAATTACAACTTCAAATTTGGAAATACTTTAAACTCATTGAAAACTTCACCCTTTCAAGAAATATTTCTCTCCATCCTTTTTAGGAATTTAATGATGAACACATGCATTTATATATAATATTTGCTAAATTGGGTTAAGTATCTATACTTCATTCACTGAGGAAGAAATTCTCTTTTTAAATAAGAATTACCAGATAATAATACCTAGTGTGAGAACTTGACTTGGTAAAATTATACATGTATGTGTGCACATGCACCCTTGTGCAGAAGGGTGGGTGAGAAACAATTTTTACAAAAAGTATTTAGAAATGGAAACCCATCATGTTAGAAGTCACTACTTCAGAAGACATTTTTTTACCGAGCACAAGCCAAGAAGTATACCCTAGCTGGCTAATCCATACATAGAGATCAATTAGAAATGTTCATTTTGTGTTTTATTCAAATGATTCTAGTATTCACCAAGAACCTGCTATAAGCCAGTTCCTGTGCTAGACACTTAGGATGCAATAGAACTAGGAATCAATTAGTTGCTGATGGAAACAACTATTTTAAATGCTGTGAAAAAGAGGTACATATTGCTGAAAGAGCAAATATAGGAAATTTTTTTACTAGCCAGGGGTTAAGAATTCTCTAAGGAAGTCAAATAAGAGCTGAGGTACGAAGTGTAAATAGGCCTTAATAAACAAAAACCAGGACGAGAGGAGGTATTTAAAGCGGAGGAGACAACATACACAAAGGCCATGTGACAAGAGGAGCCATGTTGCATTCCAAGAATTGAAAACCTACTGGAGTTTAGAGAAGGTGGAAGCAAAGAGAGTGTGGGTGATCAGAGTGCAGGTGGAAGGGCGATGCCCCGACTGTGTAGAACTCATTGGCCATGTTAAGGTTTGGATCTTTCCCCATAAAAAACTGTGGGGAGCCATTGAAAGGTCTATAAATCAAAAGCAGCAGAATCATATTTGCCTTTGAAAATATCTTTGTGGCTGCATTGTAGAAAACAGATTGAAGGGGTAAGAATGGATACCTGGAGACCAGTTAGGAGGCCATGGGAAAAATCCAGGTGAAAGATGATGGAGATTTGGATTAGAACTATCAGAGGTAGAGATGGAGGGAAATTGGCAGGTTTACCTATAGAAGGTAAAATCAACAAGACTTGGTGATAGAATATGCTTGTGCTGGGGTTCTTCATTATTTTAATGAAGGACAGGACTTCATAAATCAAGATACCTAAGTGCCAGAGATCCTGTGTATTCCCAAACCATCTAATCTTGCAATATTCCTGGAGGTTGGAATGATACAGCAGCCATTGTGGTTATTTGGGTGATTTGATAACGTATAGTCAGCTGAATTTTTATCTTAAAAGGATGTTTATTAAATACTCTAGCATCAAACTGGGGGTTTGAAGAAGCAAGTTTATATCAGGAGACCTTACGATGAAGCTGCTGGGTTGTTCTAAATTACACAGAAATATATGTCAGCACAGGCAGAGTAGTTTCCAACGTTACTTTTTCTTCAACAGCCCTGTAAAACTCCTTTAATCTCTAGGCTTGCTCAAAAAAAATTATTTAAAAATATGACAGTGCCTAGGAGCTGATCATCAGTAACTTATCAAATACAAATAGGTGGGTTACATGAAAGCAGTTATACATCAAAAATCTGCTTTTCTTCATCCTCTTTTCCTCCTTTTTCTTTTTCTTCCACACCTCCCTTCCCTAACCCTCATTCCTACTTCTTGGAAAGCAGGTCAGCCTCATAAGAAAGCACTCTGTTGTTTTCTGTCATGACTGTGTCACCCAGGCTGGAGTGTAGTGGGAGGATCTCAGCTCACTGCAACCAGCGCCTCCAGGGCTCAAGAGATCCTTCCATCTCAGCCTCCTGAGTAGCTGGGACCACAGTTGCACACCACAATGCCCAGCTAATTTTTGTGTTTTTCATAGAGACATCGTTCAGCCATGTTGCCTAGGCTGGTCTCAAACTCCTGGGCTCAAGCAAGCCACCTGCATTGGCCCCCAAAGTGCTGGGGCCACCGTGCCCAGCCTTCCTTTCTTTTTAATTGGAATATACCAAATAATGATGTTATGTACCAGGAACTGTTCCAAAGGTTTAATTTACATAAACTTATTTAACCCTTATAACCATTCTTCAAGGCAAATACTATTATCTCCATTTTCCAAATGAGGATATTGAGGTGGAGAGGTATTAAGTGACTTGCCTAGACCACACAGCTAATAAACAGCTAAGCCAGGATTTAAATTGAGGTATTTTGGCTCCAGAATCTGAACTTTTTTTTTTTTTTNTGAGAAAGTTTTTTTTTTTTTTTTTTTTTGCATTCCTTGCCTTACTTCATGCCCTCTTCTTTCAAAGTTCCAGAGAGCACTGCATTCATTCTGCTACATTAAGTGGGAAATGGTGTCTTCTCTCCTCTTATCCTGTTATGGACTTTTACGGCTTCTTTCTTCATCAGAGAAGCAAGGGGCTCAGCCAGGGCTCAGAAAAGTCACAGTGTTTGAATCTGTTCCAGAGCCAGCCTCTGGCTGGTGAACATCCTTATACTTCCCATCCTGACCTTGGTCACTGCAGAGGAGGCAGAGAGAAGGGTAACCAGCGTGGCTACCCTGGCTCATCCTCATGGGTGCAATTAATAGCCAAGGCATGGGCTTGGTTGTAGAGAAGCAAGTGGTGTCAGAGGAGGGGGGAGAAAGAAGGGAAGGGAGAAAGATTCCCCCATTGGAAATTCTACTGGGATTCAGTATCCTAGCTATTCTGGTGTACTAGATTTGAATCTGGGTTTCTAAACATATGCTCTACATTGTGAAAATGCCCAACAAGCACATAAAAAGTGGCTTTTCTTCTGTGTTTGTTCTACATTGCAGTTCTGCAACTATTTTATTAAGCTCTCTAAAACTAGTTCTTATATTTACAACACTGTTTATGTTTTGAAACTCTAAATAAGAACCATTTGTAGGCATCTATGTAAAACAAAATACTTATTGATCATTTACTAACCATTATCTTAGGCTTTATAACTCCCTCATTATTATTCTTCTAAGTGTTAGGTGACTTGTGGCTGTTTTTCTAATTAAATTGAAACTCCTGGTGAGAAACTTTAAGGCTCCCCAACAAGCAATGTATGTTCCCTCACTGTAACTTCTGTCCCAGCCCTACAAACTCCTTGACATTTCACCTTCTCTCAAGTGCAAGCTTTCTTCAGTGTTACTTGTCCTACCTAAAGTATGCCTATACTTTACCTCACCTCCATCCTATATCCTATCGCTCATAGGAGGGGAAATATATACATATATATATATATATATATATATATATATATGAGATGACTTTCTTATGATGACTTCTTGAAAGAACCAAGGGAGGGTATATGGTTTTTTTCTTACCTCAATATTCAAATCCCTGAGGTTGTCACAAACAATATCAACTCATGATTAAATAATGATTTAATTTTCTTTTGTAAGTTCTTAAAATTAGTATATTAATGATAATATGCTTGAAGTCAAGATTTATTGTTCTTCCTATGGAACTCTAATGATAACAATAAATTATAAACCCATCACTGTATTTTCTTCATTCTGTAACATGTCAACTATCAGCTTATAATTTCTCTGGGCTACATTTGAAGTTTCTTGATTAAAAACAATTAGAGATCCAATGTATCTTCAAGTTAAATTTTCACATACCTAAAAAAACATAACACACTGCTGCTGTGAAGATGGCATGCTGAACTTTCACAAATTATTCAGAAACAAATTTTATTTCGAGAAATTTAAGCTAAAAATGCAGCAAACCAGAAATCAGTTACTGAATGCTTCGCAATCCCCGAAAATGAAAATTATGTAAGAAAGGAATACAGGCAAATTTTACATTGACCCTCACAGAGCAGAATTACAAGAAGAGTTCTGTTCTCTTTGATTACTAGCTCAGAAATAATTTACTTCAAGCTTTTAGCACTGAAGATGTTTTCCAAAAACCACACGTTTATTCTTATACCTGTATTTATAAAACTTTATAAAGCTAAGTATTTTGTATGTATGTAAATGGAGAATGAAAGAGATGTGTTTCAAGAGCCTTTTACAGATAAATCCTAATAATCAAATAGGAAATAGAACATTAATGTGAATAAAATGCCACACAAATGTAGGAAGAAATGAATAACTGGAAATACAGAGTCCTTAGCATTACAAAGTGGTAAGATTTCTAAAACAGTCATCTTGTGATTTTTTTATGCACTGTTCATAGTAACAATACAGTCCATGAATAATGCAGTTGGGATGATTTCTCCTTGTGTGGATTGCCAGTTCTAGAAATCAGTAAAAGTGAAGAATGAGTTGAAAAACCAATCAGCCTACTGAATCTCCTAAGCCTCTAAAATGTGCACTGTCTAATTGCAGTGATTTGTATTTCATAGGTGCCATATCAAAATCTCCATTGAGGTCATGATGGAGTGTTAAAAAAAAATTCCCAGACGTGAACACACATATATATATTTCTTTAAGTTTCCAGCATTGTGTGTACAAGAAGCCAAAACCTCCATGGGGGGCATGCTGATGAGTTGCATGGCACAATTGTCATTTCTGTTTTGACTGCATGTCCTGTTTTTGAACCTGTAAAAGTGTGTAGTGCATATATGTGTGTCCTATATATGCCAATTCGTCTGATAGTGTGTTTGAGTTCTTTCTGGCTCTTTTTCTAGCAGAGTTCAATCCACAGCTTTCTTCATTGGAGAATTTGTGAAATAAAAGTGAGTTAATTTGTGTTACACACTCTCTTAAATAATCTAGACCTACAAATTGCTTACCTAAGGCTAAAAAATAGAAAATTCAAAGAAACATATGAATAACCTTAGTTGGTCTTTGATAAGATAAAAAAGAGAAAAAACTTCTTTATCTTGGTTTAGTTTTGATATTCTTCAGAATTATTACACAGCCAACATTTGAAGAAATACCTACCTACAAAAAATTGAACATATGTATGTTTTATAAGATGTATGTTACTACAGTATCTAATTATTCTGTGATTTTTTGTATGTACAGTAGCTATATAATTAGCTTAAAAATTGCTACAACAAAAGATAAAAATTAAAAAATGGATTGAGATAAGTCTTTTAAAAACAATCACTTCTGCAGCTCGATCACAAGCCGTGTTTTTATGCTACTTCATTCCTTTTACTGGCTTCAAGAAAGCTGAGCTGCTAATGAAGAATTAGAATTGTACTATAATAATATCAGGTGATAATCCTTTCAAAAATTAATTCATATGTTTCTCAGCTGCGGTGAAGATCATAGAGCAAAATATAAATCTTATTTTTCTATAGTTTGCTTCATCTTCTGTCTTTAACAATCCCCAATCCTTCTTCTCTAACATGTCTCACAGATAGCAAAGAAAACATTATTAATAGTATATCTATTAAATTAATTTTCTTTTTAACTTTTCTACTGTTTTCAGTTTTGTTGAATTGACCTCAACCCAACTGTCTAAAAGAAAAAGGGACTTGGAAGTGAGATACTTCAACCCATTGCTTTGCTAGTAGATTTGGCTCGAGAGACAGAAATGTCATAAAATCTAGGGCCATTTTGAGTGTCACTGGATATAGTCATAGAGCTTTAGATACCGAATTAGGAAAATAATGAATGGGTCCTCATAACTGCTAAATCTTTCATATTTATACTTAGGGTAATCACTGATTTTTTACTGTAGCAATTTCTCAAACTGAAAAATAAAACCATGCCACCTGCTTATAAAGCTGATTTGGAGAGACAGGAAAAATGCTCTATATTTTGTTTTACATATGGAAGGTTAATTTTTTGTGGTGCGAGTCAGGGGATGTGACTTTGTGGAATCCTTGTAACATTGACTAGTGTTGCCATGAGATTTCACTCTTTCTAATGTTCTAAGGCCCCTTTTCATAGCATAACATTTCTTATATAATAGAATTTTATATTATAAGATTACTAGATGCTAGATGATGATGATAAATGACCACGAATTAATAGATTTTACTTTTTTATGTATCTTAATTGTTCTTGATTTATTTGACTCAAAATATTGTCTCCAGGAAATACCATTCTTTGTCCACTGAAACTGCTTGGTGAGAAAGTTGAGCACTTATTATTCAACTCATATGGGGCAGTTTTCATAGTACAACATACCACTTAAGTATTTGGTTTCCAGTTGCCTTTTGGTGATGATGGAGGAGGTGGTGGTGGTGGTAGTGGTGATGATGATACTGATGATAAGTCATCTAACATCAAAAATAAAGATTTATTACATGTTCCCCTGGATGGCCATCTCTACAACCCAGTGCTGGGATTTGTTGCTTCAAAATGAATTGGGCATTAGTACTTTGAAAACATAAAGTATTTCTATAATAGTGTTTGATAACAGTGCTTTGCACTTTCCTGAATAAAAAAAAAAAGAGATGTGATGGGGAATCATTGTAACCTTAGGAAATCTATTACTCTTTTATGTTTTGGTCAACATTTAACACAGACTGTATGTAGAGAAAATATACCGTGTAAGACCACTTCCTATAGAAGAGAGGAATGTATAATTATTTTTGAAAATGTTATGCTAGACTTAGTTTTTACCCTAGAATGTATAAATCCATTCTTGTGGTTTAGGTTAAAGGTTACCCTCATCTTATATTAAAATCTTTTCATTTTTGTGTTCTTCTAATCCATGAGTAGTTTCTGACATGGTCCTTTTTCATGGTGAATCCTCCTGAAACAGATACAGTTCTTAAAGTGCACGTTCCTAATATAAAATTTGGCAGGCACTTTAAGCTCTAATCTTTGCCCTGAGTATTTCCTATCCTCTACTTCATCTGCTTAATAGTAAAGCAAAGAGGGAGGAAAGAAGTTAATCAGGAAGGTTAATACTTCAGTGTTCATTGAGAAATTTTTTAAAGTAAAGAGAGGAAATAAAATTGTTGGGCTTTTATGATTTAGTTTGTTCAAGACATTAATGATCTTGGGGACACATTACAAAGCTCTAGAACCTTAATTAAAAGTTTTGGCCATACATATTTCTTAGTATAACACTAGTTTAAAGGATATGGTTTCACTAAACATTTGGCAGGAAAATGCACCAGTAACCATCACAGTACGCAGCATTTGTTTTCAGTTGAAAGCATTCTTAGACCCTGATGTAGTTAAAGATTAACTGGAAGCAGAGACAGTTCTACAATACCACCAAAGCAAAAGACTTTGAAAGTGTTTGAAGAGAAAAATTATTATATACCTGATCAAGTTATGTACATCCTCAATCTTCACCACCAAAAGGAGCCATTGGAAATCATGAGACTCAATGTGGTTTTTTTAGTCAATAAAGGCATCCCAAATGTTCCATTCTTTTAAAAATGTACTCTCCCATTTTTTTTTTTATAAAGGAATAAATCAAATGAACTCGCACCAGAAAGACTGCTGGAATGTTAAAATTGTTTCTCTAGTTGTGTGTGCGTGAAAAAACAAGTTTTGTGTTGTGTAGTTGTTGCCGGGAACTGCTTGCTGTTTTAAGGGCTAATAAATGTTTCCGCTGAAAAACAACCGGCTCCCCTATTCTGTACTTGAGTGAAAAGATAATGAAAATGCTTTATTTTATTTACAGACAATGCTAATGAGGAAGAGTTGGAAAAGATCAAGTAAGGTAATGCTTAGCTTGTGATCTTTCAGCTTTTCTTGTTGAGAAGAACTATCATCTGCTTTCCCAGATCTCTCTCATATCTCTTCAAAGTATGCCACCAGATTTCATACTATTCAATTGTTACTTTTCCCCATAAATTTAAGCAAACCATCTGATGTTTTTAAAATAGAAATCATACTGATCAGTAGCTTCAAACCATCCTATCACTATTCTCTGGTCACTTCTCAACATCATTCTCAGCATCTGGTCTCAACTATTTATGCAACAGGGTCTAGAAAATTGCTTTGCACCAGGAATAAAATGATAAGTCTAGGGGAGGGACAACTCCAGACAGAAGAAAGATTTCCACAGTTATTTTATTTTTTTTGGGGGGGGAGTGTCACAGAAAATTGGTATGAGGCTTTCTAAACTGAGAAATTCCTATATCATTACATCTTTGGAGTGTAAAATACGAATAATTTTTTTCTCATTGTCTCTTCTCACTTTAAGAAATAAAGTGAGAGGAGTTTATGGTTCCTGTAACTTACTAAGCCCTGGCTCTTTTGCAACTTGTGAGATATGAAAAATATAAACTAAGATCTTAATTTGTTCAGTGGTGCTGCCACTGTTGGACACAGAAAGATATCAAGATGAAACAACTTTTGTAAGAATATATCTTGAAATAAATCAAAAGATTTTACTTGTAAAAATTTTGTCTGCTCAAATTTCTACTTAGAGTCAGTATTTCTTTTTAATAGTGACTAATTTTTTTAGACCCTGGAACATGACAGTCTTTTTCCTCCCATTCTGATTGAATCATGCTTTTACTTAAGCTTTTCTTTAATTTTGTCTTTTTATTATTGTGAATTAAAAATATATATCAAAATGTTTTTATATTTATGGTAATGACTTACTCTGTTTGAACAAGTGTCTCTTAGTGTACATTTTCTCCCTAATTCTTGTGTCATTAATGACCAAAGAATAAGTTGGCTCACAAAAAAGTCAGGGCTCCCATTAAAAGTCACCTTTATTATTTTAATAAAATGAAAAACACTTATTAAGGAAGGTTGCTGAATATTTCTGACTTAATGTTCTCTGTGATTTTTACTAATCAAAAAAGTTTCAAGAGGTTTTGAAGAAATATTTGCACTGTTTATATTTGTATTACTCTTTTTCCTTTGTAATTATACTTTAAAGTTATATTAAAAGTGTATATACTTTTTAAATTTATATAATTTGATATATTTATGTACAAAATATGACAATCCATCAATATGTGGCAATATTCTGTCATATGTGTTTAACATGTAATGCTAGAACAGGATATTATATAATATTTAGTATTAATTAGTGGGAATAATCCATTTTATTGTATAAAAGAAAGACTAGAAATGAAGATTCTGCCTGCCATGGTGGCTCACGCCTGTAATTCCAGTACTTTGGGAGGCTGAGGTGGGCAGATTACTTGAGGTCAGGAGTTCGAGACCAGCCTGACCAGCATGGTGAAACCCGACTCTACTAAAAATACAAAAAGTAGCTGGGCATGGTGTCATATGCCTGTAATCCCAGCTGTTTGGGAGGCTGAGGCTATAGAATCACTTAAACCCAGGAGGCGAAGGTTGCAGTGAGCCGAGATCATGCCACTGCACTCCAGTCTGGGCAACAGAGTGAGACTCTGTTTCTAAAAAAATAATAATAATAATTCTTTAAAAACTAAATTAAATTTCTATTAAAATGTAAATATAACTTTAAGAATAAATTAAGTAAAAATATATCCACATATTTTTGTTCCATATACAAAAAACCTAAAATGAAAAATATCTACCCTCTACTGTTTTTAATATCTATAATTCTTGGAGTTTATATTTATTATTAGCAATCCATTTATGTATTCAAACGGATACATTTTTCAAGCTTCCAACTGACGATACAGAATTCCTATGTCTAACAGCATTCGTTTGAGTACTTGGCAGATTATATTTAGTACAAGTGTTAACATAAGCTTTTGGGTTTTAGCCTAAGGGATTTTCAACTTTGAAAAATTTAATGGGGATATTGAATACTAAGTGAAGTAAAATCAGTTCACTCATTTGACTTTTTTTCTGTGAGAACATACTGAACACCTGCTAATTCATTCAGATTTTTTACTGTACCCTAAAATATTTGCCATATTCATCCATATTAGTGTTACGAGAGCATAATGTTAAATTCAAAATCGGGGGAAAGTTTGACATTTCAATTACTAGCTAGTCCACCTTCCTTCACACACTCTGCTACGTTAAAACTGCTCCTTGAACCTTTTTGTCCAGTAAATTGTGCTTCTTGGGAAACTAAGGGGTAAGGAACTATACTGTGTGGTTTTATAGGTTTTACTGTGTTACTGTTTTATGGAAATGCATCTTTTCTAAATATTTCAATCTTCTTAAAAATTCTTGTCTGAGTACAGATTTTTCATTTTTTATTTTTGGAAATAGGGTGTAATTTTATTTGCATTACATTTAAATATGGGTATTTCATATATGATATAACTATGTTCAAATTCAAAGGTAAATTTTTCACAAAAACACAGATTTTCTTCTTTGGAATCTTGATTTACAGAATGAGGTCTCCCGCATCTTTGTGGCAGGGCTTTGGCATGCAGCCTGTCTTTGAGTGTCAATGGTGAATATATAATCTAAGAAGTATAAATTTTGTAGCAAAGACTTAAAGATAGCCGGTGTTGTTGGAGATTCTCTCCAGTATGGAGTTTTTCTTCCTTGGTTTCTTTCAGAAGTGATTGTAACTACAGAGGAAAAAAGCCTAAATGGACATAGTTTTTGTTCTTTTAAATACAACTGTCTCCCCTCTATACAACGTGAATCAGCTCATGGAACTTCCCGTTCCTTAAACATCTACTCATCATTTTCGTCATCTGGACTTTCTGTGATGAGATTTCTTTACCTATTTTTGTAGTCATAATTCAGCCAATAATAGGCTCTTTTAATGGAAATCTTATTACTTGTGGCACTCACATAATGTGGGGCTCTATTTACTATTGAAATCAAAAGAAAGATCACCAGCTTGAGGACAGGGAGATCCTAATTGCTGTTCAGGACTAACTTATTATTTGGCGGGGTGGGGATAAATGTATTACCACTTAATAATACATAGGGAAAAATACATCTAAACTTACCTCTGAAAGACAAGAATGTATAAAATATGCATTATATTTGAATGGCATGTAAACTAGTATATAGCTATAAATTCCATAATATTGCCTCTTCTAGGGACAGAACCATCCTTTAAAACACTCATTCTGGTTTTCCACAAGCACGCTATCTATTATGCTCATTTTGAATTCTGCCCAACACCTCAGCTGTTATAGAATTATGTTATTTTAAGAAGAAAGGGACTGATGTCTCCCTAAACTTGGGCAACAGAATTATCCAGGTCAAAGAGTTACATTTATGTGACAAAATGTGTTTTAGCAGAGAAATGGTAGTGCTTTGGATTATTGCAATATTTTATTCTTTAGAAGAAGCTTATCACTGATAATTTATTCTAAGTTTAAATTATTCATCAAGAAAGTTTCATGAACTCAGATGATTTATATGTATTTTGTGAATAAATTTTGTGGGTCCAAACCAAAAATTGAAAAAAATAATGAAATAATTGGCTCTATCAAACAATGTGCAGTTATGATTTTACACTACTGTGTGTGTGTGTGTGTGTGTGTGTGTGTGTGTTTTAACCTAGAATAATGAATTTTCCAATGGGTAAAGGTGAGATAATAAGCTTATGTGCTTTCAACAGATTGTTTTAATTATATGAGAAATATGATGATGATATAAAAACATATACATTGCAATTCATATCCTCAACAATAACAGCTTAGAATTGTTTTTCTTTCAGAAAAGTTCATCCTTTGAATATATACAGACTACTGTGATGGTGTCTGATTATGATATCTCCTGTTACTTGACAGCTTATATCTTTTTTTAATAATACATCTTTTTATAAAGATTTTATTATAACTACTTGGCATAATTTTAATGAACTATAAAACACTTTATTCATTGGTTGAATGAAGCAATTTTTAATAAGACTTTTGGCAAGGAGATCATTAATTTAAACTAGAGAACACTTTCAACTCTAAGTCTGCATGGCGTAGTAGTTAAACCTGACACCTTGGATGACACATTAAAAATGCATCAGCAAAAACTCTAAGTGCTTTAAGTAACGGTGGAGAAACAGATTAGCACATCTTTAAGTATCTCACACAGTCAGACATGATGGAAAAAAAAGTCATTATTTAACAACTATCAGGTTCTTTCTACAAAAACTTTATATCCTGATAATAAATAGGCAATTTTTTTAAACCTGCAAAAATGAAAACTATTGGTCATTGACTTTCTTAACTCACATGAGTGACCAACATGGCTTTTCTTGGATGCCATATTTCTAATTATTATGTATATGTCTTTGAAAAAAATGATATGCCCGATGTTTTTGAAGGAAACCTAAAATTATTTTAGATTTTTACCTTGCCATTGTTTGTACTCCCAAATCTATATTATTTGGAAATGCTATAAAATCAACCTTATAATCAAGATTTCTGAGATTCCAAAATGCAACAATGAATAAATGGTAACTAGCAGTGAATATTTCTGTTATCAAAGAGTATATTTTGACCCGACCTAACCAAAGTCCTGAAATTTGTAGCAAGGTTATTTAAAACAGAGATATTATAATATCAGTGAATATTTGATTACCCCTACAAAATACATGAAGCCATAACCAAATTTTATGTTGAGATGGTTTTTTCTTGCCGTTTTGACAATATTTCCCCAAAGGCATAAAATATGCTTTTTATGTATTATATTCATAGCTACAGAGATTTGCTGTGACAATGGCATTACATTTATTTGACCGCTCTTGTTGACTTTTCTAAATGTTGTGGGTTCTTCTGGAGCAGATCTGGATGAGTTGGCACAAAGTGGAAGGACAACATGTAATGTCAAGGAGAGGATGGATTTCACAATGCT